CTTTCCTTCTTCATACCCCAAACAAAGCTGGAGGATTAGAAGTTTTGAGTCGGTATAAGGAGTTAATGACAGAAACATGGTTAGGCTTGGGTAGGATACTGATTTTGGACAGGTAAATCAAAAAGAGAAGCCTAGGTATCTGAAGGAACTGAAAAGCAAAATAAATAGAGCAGAAGAGACAGAATTAACTAAGTTGTAAAATTGTCTAGAGTTGACTATCCCTTCATGGAGTCACTAAAAGTCATTTTCCATACTTGCATTTGCAATGATAGGCAACCATCAGTGTGAATCCAATGAGGCTGTGTGCTCAGGGCATCTCTATGCATGTCAGACATGAAAACTTGTTGAGTGCTGAGCAAACAATGGGCTGAGAGCAGAATGTCACCTAGAGACCTCTTATTGCTTGAAAGGATTTTCTTCCTGTTAATATTTTATAGCATCTTCATTATTCAGTTGTTTGAGCTACTCAACTGTTAATCACTATTGCTGGTATGTACTGTCTGCAACTATTGCAAAAATACTGTTGAAAGACTACATTTCCAGAGCATTCACTTTGTAGTCGTCCTATTGTTTCTGTATACAGGTAGTTTTTAATACCTGCCCATTTTTTAAGTATGTTGATTTACCTTAATAACATTGCTGTCACTTTTGTAGCAGAAAATTCAAGCTACAAACTATCTGACAAAGGAAGGCCCTTCCAGTTAAGCAGTCTTATCTCATTGTCCTGCTGCTTTATTCATTGCCCTACACTTTCCACCATGCCTAGGACAACCAGTCATCCCACTGCTGACTCCCAGCACATTCCCCACCAACACGAAAAGGCAATTCCCTTGTGCTTCATGGCGTCTCCATTCAATCATAAACCAACTCCCTTTTATCTTCAGACTCCTTTTGGAATTCTCCTCAACCTCCTCACCCTGGCAAAGCAGCAGCTTACCTTCGAGCACACTATTTCCTTTCTCCAAGGATGCTCTTTTGTATAAATCGCAGAAGATTTAAATATAAACCAGAAGGCATTATCTATGCCTTTACTGCTACTTTTAAATGATTGTTCTTCTACACTCATTAAAAAAATCTCTCCTCCTTTGAAGCTTATTCTATCCAGTTATACCTTTCTGGCATCTTCCAATCACCTTTTCTATAGCATTCTTTTTCTTTTCTTTTCTTTTCTTTTTTTTTTTTTTGAGATGGAGTCTTACTCTGTTGCCCAGGCTGGGGTACAAAGGCGTGATCCCGGCTCACTGCAACCTCCACCTCCTGGGTTCAAGTGATTCTCCTGCCTCAGCCTCCTGAGCAGCCAGGACTACAGGCACATGCCACCACACCTGGCTAATTCTTATAGTTTTAGTAGACATGGGGTTTCACCATGTTGGCCAAGCTAGTCTCAAACTCCTGATCTCAAGTGATTTGCCTGCCTCAGACTCCCAAAGTGCTGGGATTAGAGTCATGAGCCACTGTGCCTGGCCACCTTGTTTTTATACTTAAGTGTCTGGCTTATAGTTTTTAATCTCCAATCTGCTCCTGTCTGCATCCTTTGTAAGTTAAAACACCATGTAGCCATCTATTTAATCCCTTAGCACTGACCTCCTCAAGGCCAATAGTCCCTTGCTTCACTCTGTTTCCATGATGCTCACCCATGACACAATCTGGATATTGTCACCTGTGACTAAATCCCATTGCAATGACAGCTCCCTGTTCTCATTTTTTTTAAGTGTGATGATAACTTTCCACATTTTTCTATTTATTTGAGTCTTCTAGTCTCTTAATCTTATTTTATGGCCCCCTATCCACTTCGCTTCCTTTCCTAGAACCATGCAGCCCCTGTCAGTTACTTATAAGAGCTCTCACCAATAGAGCTGAAGATATTTAATATGACCTAGAAATCCCAAGACTTGGATCAATTCCATAATCTGTCTTCGTTCCTTCTCTAAGCAGCTGAGTACTATTGGGGATGGGATCGAAAGGAGTCTAAGCATCCAGATTTTGAATCAGTAAAGACTGTTTTTGAAATCAGCTTGGCCTTCCCTGACTTACCTTGTCAATTCCTTTCGCATTCTCTGATAACTTCTTTAACAATTTGCTGATTTTAAGCCCTGTGGCCAACCTCCATTCACTTTATACTGAGTGGATGATGCTCTCTCCTACTTCTCTGAGAAAACAGGCATACACCCTTTCAAAAATCTCTTGTCCCCTTTATTCCACCTGAAAACAAACCTATATTATTTACCCCACTTCCAAGTCTCAAAACTGCCCTACAACCTGTATCATCAAGCATTTGGATGCAGAAAAATGCCCAGTCACCAACCCACAGCAGGTAACCAACTGCCCACTAACGTATCATCAACCTACATAGCAAAGGCCACCAACAATTTCCTGCTATCAAATGCAACTAAATTGGATACTTAGTTTTATTTTACTTTTCTGTTCCCTGTGGCATTTCTGGCCATTCCTTTCTAACCCTTTCATCCTTTAGATGCAAGTACTCCTGTTCTCTGCACTGGCCTTGCTGGCTCCCCTTGCGCTTCCTACTCCTAATCGTTGGATCGCTGAAGTCCTCAGGCCTCTTTCTCTTTTCCCCTTCTCTCTATAAGTGATCTTGTACACTTTCATGATTTTAACTACCACATACCAAGTTCAGCACTTTGGAATCCTTATCTTGCCCAGACTCTTCATTAAGTTCAGACATTGTTATCCAAGTGACTGATAAAGATGTCCACGTACATGTTATAAAAT